TAAAAACACTGCCCTAAAAAATTCTAAAATATAAAACTTGTAACATCAAAATCCCTAAGATTATACAAGGATGATATTTTAAAGCAAAACAGTAGGAAACTTATGTAATGACTATTCTAAGGCCAAATACAACCTTTTCAGCAAAGGTGAGACTTCTTTTTCCCCCGCAATATCAAAGAATATTTGATGAAATGCAAACCTTCCAGGCAGAATCTGAGCGTGTGTTTAGGAGCCTCTCCACTCCTGTTACTTTATCGCGGCTTTCTACCTGGGATATCCATAAAAAATTACCCAGTTTCTTCCTAACTTTTCAAAGACTGAACTTGGCATAAAACAGTGGTTTGGAGGTACCCATAACCATAATCAAGGTGAGAGTAGGAGAGAAACACAGACATAGAGCTGCTGAGAGAGCTGGACACTTAGAGCATGGCCCTATAGTCTATGTTAAGAATAGTAGTTCATGGCACTGTCATGGCATCATGGTGCTGTCAGCTCTGTGACAGCAAGGGCCAAGGGTAACTCTGGCAGACAAAGGGCAGCCTGCAGTACCATAAACATGAAATGAATACTAGGCATGGTCAACCCACCCTGCTGAGAATAATTTAGAATACCTACCCCCCTATTAACATCACACAGGCAGTCAAAGGCACCCTCTTAAGAATTACAATATTGCCCTGAAGACATGGACCCTCAGTGGTGTCTCATCAGGAACCACTGCATCCCTTACACCTCCATGATTCAGTAGCCAGGTATCCTTCCAGAATTTTAGATGGTTACTCATCATATGGGCTCAGGATAGTGAGTGACAGGCATGTGCTGAAGGCTCTCATCAGGAAGAGGTGTGTTGCTGCTGTGGACGTTCTGTAGAGTAGAGGTTCACACCGGTACTGTCTCTTTCAAACTGGTGCTTTGGGAATAATGAACGTGAGCAACAACTGCTAGTTGAGAATTCAAGGGACAGAAGATCCCATAAGTGCTGGGGCGAGATCAGGTAGAATGGTATTTTCACTGAGTTCTCAGAAGAAGTCACAGATTCTGAAACCAGGCCATGTCTCTCATGCTCCAAGAGGTTGTAGGAAAAGGCCTCAGTGACTTGGAATCATGCACAGTACAAGACCACTGAGTTGGGCTGGGGATGTGGCTCAAGGGGTGCGCGCTCGCCTGGAATGCGTGCGGCCCCTGTTCGACCCTCAGCACCACATACAAACAAAGATGTTGTGTCCACCGAAAACTAACAAATAAATATTAAAAAAATTCTCCCTCTCTCTCTTGTCTCTCTCTCTCTCTCTCTCTCTCTCTCTCTCTCTCTCTCTCTCTTAAAAAAAGACCACTGTGTAAGAAATTCCATAATTGGGGTCTGCATTACAGATTAGTCCCCAGCCTTCATGGATTACTGGGTTTATCAGGCAATTTCTACATCCATAGACCCATCTCTCTGAGTACAAAATCAAATACTGAGAGTAATTTCCTTTGTAACTTTCAAAGTTCCCTCAGCATTATCTGGGAGGAGTTGGGGAGCAAGGAGCAGAGGAGATCCACTTGATCACACCAATGTCACTGAAGGCCTTTTTGAGCTAGAACAGATAAAGAAACTGATGGACAATATTTGCATCCTCCAAACCATAAAAAGCTTTAGCTTTCCAAAATTAGAAATCCTGGACAGAAGTGTCTCCATTTCAGTTATATTAGTTTAAGGGGATTGTGAAGATTTTCATGAGTTTGTTTGTGCCTTTTTTTTTCACAATGTATATGATTTTATAAGATTTTTTTTAAGTTTTCATTTTATTTCCTTTATTACATTTTTATTCTTATTTTACATTCTTTCCTATTGTCATTAATATTGAATTTCATCCTGATTTCCTCTTCAATCTCTGCTTACTATAACCACTTTCATTATCTGTTCTTTTTAAAATTTATCATGATAATTTTATTGTCACTAATCACTTTTTTCGAGTCTTACGAGTATTCTTATTTCCTTTGAACTTCGATTAATTATTAAGTATTATAGAAACCACATTAAATATACAGTTTGTTTATATGCATGTTTTGCTTTAAGCTATGATTGTTCCTAGAGGGTCATCTTTCTCCTTGATGAGATACTGGTGAGTAAATATTTTATGTTAAATATGTTCATTTGGGAATTTGATTCTGAACATGATGGCCTGACCCAAACACATCCCAAAGAAAAATCTGTACACTAAAAGGACACATACATAACAGCTGAACTAAAATGCTTGCAAATTCTCCTCCTAAAATATAGGGCATTATGATACCACAAAAATTTTGCAACTTCCCAGTAACTGCATCCAAGTTCTTTTTACTAATGTCCACTTCAGAGGTGGAATAAAAATGTTTAGTAATTTTCTTGATTTCTTGCATGAAAAGTAAAGGAACTAAAGGTTTTTCTTCGTACTCAAACAGGATTGATGGATACATCCTGAAAGGACCTGATTCTATAATAGGCTGTTTGGTTTCTCCTTTAAGTCTATTTCCTGCCTCAGCCTACATACTGGAGTGTGTAGGGAGACTGGAGTCTTTAATACCAGCATGGATTACTGGTAATGGGAAACTAAAATTTTGAGCCTTTGGGAATGATGATCTTTAACATGAATGTGTTCACTGGCCATTTCAATTATATACTCTTCAACTTTCAACTGGATATTTCCGAGGCTTAGATTTAATCCTCATTACGTGAGGAGGTCACACAGAAGAAAATTGAAACAATACTCAAAAAAATCTCCCCACATTACTAAGATGAAGGTTACTTTTAAGCTTCTGTTTAAAATCATGTGATTTCTAAAGCTATTTTCATGTTCATGTTGTGTTACATTTTTAGACTTAAATATTAAATTATGACCTTGATTTCTAAGTATGTATTATGTGATGTCATTTTGTTTGGCATAATCTTCCTTCCCATCAAAGAAGAGAAATAGACCATGAATTTAAATTGACACATTTACTTACCTGTCCATGGCTTTTATCCATGCCATCAACCCCCTCCTTCAATTCCTCTGATGACATATGGCAATGTGAATCTGGGGATAAATGCATAGATGTACTTTCTTAAACTACTTAAAAGAGTTAGACTGAGTGAAAATCTGGCCAACTAAAAACATAATTGTAATAATCATACAATTTGAGTTTCATAATGATACGTTTTTAGGTAAGTTTAATTTTAGGTGAATGTTTATGCTGTTGAAAATTTTTGGATTCTTGTGTCAGCTTGGTGGCTGTACCCAGAGCCATGTGTATCCTTGGCAAGAACGCAAGTACTTACTTCAAATAAAAGGCCTTTATTTTTATTTATTTATTTATTTTTGAAGACAGAGTGTCTGAATATTCCCTGGCTCACTGGGAACCTGACATCAGCCTGCCTCAGTCTCTAACTAAGCTGAAATTACAGATGAGTCCCTCTTCACCCAGGGTGTATTGAGTGATTTAGCAGGGATTTTTACTAATCTAATGCATCAAAAAAACAAGAGTTCACCATATTCAATGCACATGATATCTCAAAGATTCAACCACTCAAAGAAAAATGATATTTTGCAGAAAAAAATGCTAAAATTACAATGGAAAGAAGAAACTTCACACTGTTTACTATGTCTTTTTCCTAATAGTAATTTTTAATGAACCACTGCATGTAACATTGGTGTCAACAAAAAAGTATGTGTATATACGATCACTGTGATACCTTTGACAGTGAACCACATATTCCTTTCCTTTCCTTTACCTGCATTTCTTCTGTTAGGATTCACTCTGTTTTTGGAAGCATTACTCATGGTGCCTATTATTCCTGACATAAACTGTTTTTGCTTCTCTGGCGTTAGCTATCTCAGATCATGACCCGCAATTGTACTGAGTAATAATCAGTTGGCCTGTAAGTTATTCATTCTCTGTCTAGTTCACTAGGTCCTGGACTACAGGAGATGTTCTTAAAACACACAGGTTTGAACACCCCATAATTGAGTGTCAGGTAAGTGCCTGAGGCAATAACACTTGGCGTGGATGGTGTCTTTTCTCGAGGTAGGGATGAACGGAGACTTGAGGAGTGAGGCCATCAGCCAGAGGCAGAGAATGGTGAAAATGTGGAAGGCTATAGCATGACATAGAGACAAGGGTTAAGGGGGACGGTATATGTCTGATGATACAGGGATTGGTGAAAACTGCCAGAAGATCATGCAGGTAGAAACGGGCTAAACATACAGTTAGGAAGAATTTGCATTGTGAAAGATGCCTCGAAATGTTGAGATGGTTGGACATACACAGAGCTAACACTTTCATCTAGGCCATGTATCCATATATAGCTGGAACTATCTCAAATCTGTGGGCACATGAGCTTGAGGGGCATGGTCATGAATGGAGATGAATAAAGAAAATGCAAAAGTGCGCTATGGGGTTGATGCAGGACTGAATGAAGGAATGTCTCCAAAAGGATCTGGGTTCCGTTTTTAGCATACCCAGAGGTAACAAACATAACAACAAGTCAAGGACAAAGAATGATGAGCAAACACTCCATTGGGATGTGGAAGAATTTATGGATTGACTACTCTGAGATAAAATTTCAGGAAAGAGTGTTCACCAGCAAATGTTCACTTTAGAAGCAAGGGATAAACTAAAGTACATATGATCATTCCTTTTATTATTTCTTGCCTCAAACTGACCACAAGAGTTGTCAAAGTCAGTACCTAAGTAGCATAAAAACAAGTTTGATGCATTTGGTTGGTACACTAGATGTCAGGGTAGAGTGCACATTGTCTTTTAAATTAGATTTTCTTGTATTTCACAGACCGGCCTTGACATCTTGGCTTCAAGAAAAATACAAGTCCTCATCATCTCAGGATTCTGGATTTCAATCCTGCTCCCCTGGACCTACTTTTAAAATTGGGTTGGGAAGAAAAATCAGCCTCACAATCCAACTGACAAGTGTCATGACTCCGATTTGGGAAGTTTAATTGTAGAAACACCTAGGATATAGGTTATTTTAAAACATCTTTTCCTCATAGATTTACAGAAATATTTTGAAATGTGGATGCACCACCAACACAGACCTGATGGGGCAAATCCTCCCAACACATGGCACAAATGGATATATCAGGAGTGAAAAGTTTGCTATCATTTCCAAGGTTTAATCATAGGTAGTTTTATAGAAGTTGTACTGCAAAAGTTACCTGATTTCCGTTTTATTTTTTGCTTCCACCATTTTTGTTTTTTGAGAGCTGTATCTTTGCTTTTAATGGTAGGCTTGATGTGCTTGGAGACAAGATAATACGTAAATATTTTACAGTGCATACAGCATGCATTTAATAATATAACATAAACATAGAAGATGATTTACCTTGTATAAAGCATGTACGTCTTTAGATACTGAAAAGCAAATGAAATACATAATCAATAAAATCTGAACATAAAAAGAAAACACACTCATATTCCTACTAAGTGAGTACAGAGCTCAGTCCAATGATAACTATTTTTATTAGCATTGATAAAGATTACATTAGCTTTGGAGTTTTAAGTTTGGGGATTTTTGTTGATCACAAGACTGAAATGTTCTAAATGAATATTGACAATATATCTTTAGTAAATAAGTCTTGCAGTTACGTTTCAAAAGGTAAGAACACCTATGTGATCATTATAAATAATTTGGCAAGGGTACATATACAAATGTGAAGACGCAGAATGCTGGAGACCACAGAGATCTGTATTCAGAGAAAGAAAGACGAATACGGAGAATTTCAATGTCAAAGCTGAAGTAGTCAGATGGCAGCACATATGTCAAGTGACCTACGAATTGTTTAATCCATTTTATTATACCTAAGTATCCTGTACCTCAAGATCCAGGACAAGGTATACTTTATTTCTTATCAGTTATTTTTTTTCTGAACTAATAGGATCAGATATATGCATTTAGAATAACAGCTAATATGAACATGATTGTTTTTTCATACCCATCTGGGACCGTGGCACATCTTCTAATCCTGCTTCCTCTGTTTTAGTGGATATCGGGTTACCCTTTTCACCCGTGTACGAAGATACAGGTCCTGCATCTTAAAAAATATGAGAAAGCATAAAGAATTTAGATATGGTCATCCACAGCAATCTGTGATCTGAAAGCAGGCAGAATTGACAGGACTCAAAAGACTGTCACATAAACACATTAGTAACACTCTTAGTATTTGAGGAATAAATTCCATAAGGAATTCTAGTTTAAAAATGAGTCTGCCATAACACATACAGTCATGATTTCACATATTTTTTTGAGTGTGCTGGCCGATCTAAGAATTAGTTATCAGAATTTAGCACAGGAGTGGAATGTATTCCTGTAGCACAAAGGGACATGGTTTCATTCCAAAGAACCAAAATAATAATAATAATAATAATAATAATAATAATAATAATCAAAAATAAAACTATCTTTGAAAAAAACAAATTTTCAAAAACACTTGGTCACTGATCTAAATCACTCTTAGGATGCCACACACATGGTGGGGCCTGGTGGGTGTGCAGGACAGATTTGTACAGCAGGTTGCCCTGATTTTTCCAGTCCCTACTTGTTTCAATCACCTGGGGACCAGGAATCATCCCACTTTTGGTTTGAAGGCAGGCACACTGAAAAATGCTGAATTGCATTTTATCATTTTCCCCTCTAAAATTTCCTTGCTGACTTCTTTATTTTCTTCCTCATTTTGCCTCTCTCCTAGTTTTTCATAAAACCCTCTAGAGCAGGAGACTATTTTATTTCCATTTTCTGTTTTTTTGTATGGGTTATTCGAACTCCTTCCTTCCTGGCAATGTAGCAATTTTATGTTAGAAATGTAATTTTTAAATTTTTCTCTTTTGTGTTATCCCCACTACCTAAGAAATATGCACATAATTATTGCAACATTTATTCTGGCAGTTGATCTTCTTCTATCTTGGTTTGTAGGGTCTACTAGCATTTTTTGTTTGTTTGTTTGTTTTTGTTTTTTGTTTTTTGTCCCACAGGGACATTCTTTGCCTGGCTACAAAAAATGCTGTGGGCATACCAGGATCATTGCAATCACCTTAGAATCTATAGGAAATGTAGAAGGAAAGAACTTCTGAGTCACAATGAGCTTCTGATCATGGCCTCAACAGATGATTCATTATAGTTTGAGAGATCTAGTATAAATTTTTTGGAATCCATTGCCTCTACCTTAACTAGAATGTAGCTCTGGGTTTCTCCCTAGGATGTTACCCTCAAATGAAAGTTCAGTCAAGCTATTATCTTTCCAAATTTAGTTTTAGATATCTGTGAATTTGGGGACCACTCTGTAACCATTTCTATTTCTTTCCACTTTCCTAATTGGTGTTTCTACCCTATACATTTTTTTGTACAGAGTAGCAACACATTTGGTGTCATTAGATTTTATACATGAAGAATCTTTTGTGATAAACAAACTTGACAATGTGGGAATTCCTTCTTCACTCCTCAATTTTATTCCATTCCAACTGTGACTAAGTCAGGAATGTTGGAAAATTTTTACTTTACACTTCATTCAGCTTTGGACCTGGAAACTCAAAAATGCTTCCCAAATTTTGAAAATGCTGCTCTTCCCCCCCCTCTTATGTAACTGAGGGTCCTTCCTTCCACTGAGTACAACTGCTCCCTCTTCCTTCATTGACTCCCTGTAATTAATGCCTGTCTCAGTGTTCATATCCTCTTCTTCTCTTTCATTTCTATTTTACTTTGATTGAAGCATGTCTCAAAATGCAACTCATAATTCAGATTTTTTTTAGCAATATCCCCAGTTTAACCTGTGACAGAAACCTAATACAATATGACTCATTATATTTCTTTTTCCTTACTAGATAATACATACACTCTTGGAACAATTACAATATTTTAGTGCTCTTGCTTTAAAGCAATACGCTCACCAATGTCTTTTGCATTTTTTGTCATTCTTACCTTCTCCATGTTCGTTTGTTCTATTCTTTGCTTGTGTATAGGACCCAACAGATATACTGGAAGCACAAACTTCTGTAGGTTGCTTACAGACACTCTGGGGAAAGTAATACCAATAATAAGTTGCATGAAGTTTTAATCATCACATATTACTTATCACCATATATATATATATATTTGTGAAATCATCAGAATTAGAAATTAGATGAGTGCATTTTGAACAAGAATATATTGTACAAGTTTCACTGTCCTAGGCAGTTCAGATTAACTGAGCTCATATATCATTCTGGCTACTGATTGGATAAAGCCAAGATGAGGGACATAGGAACTGTGTTCCCTCCGAATATACACACTGACAAGCATATACCCCAAACAACTAGCATCAGTATATAATCAGTCAACTTTGCACTGCCCAGCAGTTCTAAAAATGCTTTGAAAGACTTTTAAGAATGGCACTTGGTGTTCCATAGCATTTTAAATTTGAATGGCCATTTTTTTATTCTGAAAGAATGATACTTGGTAAGATGAGAGTTTCAATTCTGTCACCTTGTGTAGGAATGATAAACTGTTGTACTTGCTTCATTTATTCATCAGAGACTTCGAAAACTTAATGCATTTCAGCAAAATATTTACCGAGTCAAAACTTATTTTAAAAAAGTAAAATATAGTGAGGAAATGTGTCTGTATGTAACATGAACATAACAGCACACACACTTGGGTAAAGTATGCAACACTTTCATTGGAGAAGAAACTAAGAGGTATTTCAAAAGAGAAAGGTGACTCCCATCTCTGAAAAGCTGACTATTTGCAGAGGTGGGAGTCATTTGAACTGGTGCATTGCTGCTTGAAGAAAAAGACAGGCTGTGGGAAATCACAGGAGTGACACAATGGAGAGCCTGTGACCAGATGAAACCAGAAATATGAGATACTCAAAGAGGAAATGCATTCGTGGAAGAAATAGTGTAAAGCCGCAGTAGGGAAAACTAGCTTGCTATGAGAGAGGAATATGCTGACTGGTGAGCTGAGGAGAATCTCACCCCTCCAAATAAGAAATTAAGAAAAGCAAGGATAGACAGTTCTCAAAACAACAAATACAATTTCCCTATAAATACATAAAAAAATTAAACATATTTAGCATTCAGGGTAATACCATCCAACACTCTATCCCTGAAGCTTGTCATAACTAAGTCATGACAATGTGTTTTGCTGTGGGGAAGGATCCTAGTGTCTTTGACTCTTACTTCCTCTTCTGATAGAAGAGCTGAATACTTACCTCACCATATTTTTGTGAAAAAAAAAATTAAACATATGTAGCATTCAAGGAAATACCATCCAAAACTCCATTGATATTTCAGCTCATGCCAGTCAGATAGGCATTCTTAAAGTATTCAAATAATCAGTGCTGGAGAGGACATGGGTAAAAATATACAAGCATACTCTGTGATACTGAAAATTAGGACTTTCCATTTGGAACATAGTATGGAGAGTTTCAGAGTACTAGGGATATGAACATCATATGACCTACGTTTCCCAACCCTTCTTCTTATTTACAAAGTATAATAATTTCTGTATACACATGAGACACATTTACTTCAATGTTTACAGTGGTTTCTGTCACAATTAGACAGAAATTGGTGGTGGAACTGAAAATTAGTTCAGCCAATCTGGAATGCAGTATGGAGATACCTTGGAAAATTTGGAATGAAATCACGATTGACTCAGCTATCTCACTTCTTGGCTTATACCCAAAGGACTTAAAAACAGCATACTATAGGGACTTGGCCTTATCAATGTTTATAGCAGCACAATTCAAAATAGTTTAATTGTGGAACCAACCCTTTTGCCCTTTAGTAGATGAATGGCTTGGGAAACCTGGGTATATATACACAATGGAGCCCTACTCAGCATTAAAGAGAAAAAAATCATGGTATTTGCAGGTAAATGGATGGAATTGGAGAATATAATGCTTTGTGAAGAAAGCTAATCCCAGAAAAATAAATGCTGAATGTTTTCTTTGATATGAGGATGCTGACTCATAATGGTGATGGGTGGGGAGCATGGGAGGAATGGAAGATCTTTAGATAGGGCAAAGGGGAGGGAGGGGAAGGGAGGGTTAAGGGGGTAGAAATGATGGTGGAATGAGTTAGACATCATTACTATAAGTACATATATGAAGACACGAATGGTGTAATAATACATCGTGTACAATCAGTGAAAAATTGTGCTCTATATGTGTAATATGAAATGAATTGCATTTTGCCATTGTGTGTAACAAATTAGAGTGGATAAATAATTTAATAAAAAAAGAATAGAAGCTCATGGCTCTGTCATGGAATCATTTTGTTTCCAGCAAGTGCCAAGGTTAAGTCTGGTAGAAAAAGGCTGCATGCAATATCATAAACATGAAAATGAATACTAGAATAATTGGAATAGTTACCCCCATTAACATCACACAGGCAGTTGGAGGCACCCTCTTAAGAATTACAATATTTCCTGAGGACAAAGGCTCTCAGTGGGGTCTAATTTTAGTCACTCTGTGTTAAAGATCAGGTACCCCTGCATACCTTATATTTCCATAATGCTGTAGCCACCATTCTTCAGATAACTGAATTGTTACTGAACTTATGGGCTCAGGTTAGTGAGTGACAGGCATGTGCTGAAAGATCTCATCAGGAAGATGTGTATTGCTGCTGTGGTCATTCTGTAGAGTAGAGGTCCACAGAGGTATTGCCTCTTTCAAACTGGTGCTTTGGGAATAATGATAGTAAGCAAGAACTGGTAGTTGAGAATTCAAGGGACAGAAGATTCCAGAAGTGCTTGGGAAGGATCAGTAGAATGGAATTTTCACTAAGTTCTCAGAAGAAGTCATAGATTCTGAAACCAGGCCATGTCTCTCATGCTCCAAGAGGTTGTAGGAAAAGGCCTCAGTGACTTGGAATCATGCACAGTATAAGACCACTGAGTAAGGAATTCCATAATTGGGGTCTGCATTACAGATTAGTCCCCAGCCTCCATGGACCACAGGGTTTATCAGGCAATTTCTACATTTTATAGACCCATGTCTCTGAGTACATAAACTAATACTAAGTGTGCATTGCCTCTGCAACTTTCAATGTTCCCTCAGCATTCTCTGGGAGGTGTGGGAGAGAAAGGAGCAAAGAAGATCAGCTTGTACTCTCCACTATCATGGTAGGCTGTTTGAAGCTAGTGCAAAAACAACAACAACAACAACAACAACAACAAAAACCTGCTGAACCGTTTTTGCATCTCAAAAACCCCTAATAGTTATATGCTTTCAAAATTAGAAATACCCCCCAAAAATTGTCTCCATATCATTTGCTTTAGTAAAAGTGAAATCTGAAGAAGTTGTTCTTGCTCTTTTCAGTTTTTTCTTTGTTTTTGTATGGGATTTCCATGTCATTTGTTTTTTTCATGTTCTGATTTTCTAATATATTTTCATTCATTTCATATTTTGGTTGCTGGATCCCTTTTTTATTCCATTTGAAATCTCCTTCTATTCTCATTTCTTTGAATTTGATCCTCATCTCCTTTTCAGTCTCTGCTTACTCTCACCACTTTCATTCTCTGTTCTTTTTAAAATTATTATGATAATCTTATTATCCCTGAGGCTTTTTTTGTCTTGCAAGATGAACATTATTATTACCTACTCCTTCTTTTAATTTTGTGCTGTTTTAGATATCATTTAAAAGCTAAATTTTATTTGCATGTGATATATGTTTTGTTTAAAGGTATGTTTATTTCCAGAACTTATTCCTTCCAAAAGACGAGATGCTGGTGAGTGAATATAGCTTGTTAAATGTTCATTTATAGGTTTGATGCCAAAATATATGCCATGCTCCAGACACATCACATAGATTAACCTGCACTCTTAAAAGACACATACATGACATGGAAGAGAAATCCATTCAAATGCATGAAAAATAACAAAAGCAACAGGAGAAAGAGAGGCATTAAGACACCTCCAAAATTCCACAAACTGTCAAAAACTTCATCCAAGGTCTTCTTCCTAACATCCACTAAAGAGGTCTAATAAAAACATTTAGTAATTTTATTGATCTTGCATGAAAAGAAAAAGAAAATGAACTAGAAAGTTGTTTGTACCTTAACAGATGTATACCTCCTGAAAAATTCTGATTTCATTAACAGACTCTTTGGTTTCTAATTAAGCCTATTTCTTGCCTTGTCTTAGACTAGACATTGGAGTTGAGAGAGAATGGAATCTTTAACCCATGCATGAATTACTGGTAATGAGAAACTAAAATTTTGAGCCTTTGGGAAAGATGGTCTTTTAATAAGAATGTGTTCACTGGCCATTTTATTTATATATTTTCCTTTTTTTTACTGTTTTTTTTAAGTCTCATTTTCTCATCACGTAGGGAGATCACATAGAAGAAAACTGAAAGAATATTCAAATAATTGCCTCAATTGCTAGAATACAGTTTGCCATTAAGCTTCCTTGATTTCTAATACTATTTTCATGTTCATGTCCAGTTACATTCTTTTAGATGTGAATGGAAATTATGATGTTTGATTCCCAAAATCCTATGCTAAGAGGTCATTTCATTTGGCCTAATTTACCTTCTGGAATCAAAGCAAAGAGAAATACACCAGGAATTTAAACTGACCCATTTACATACCGGTTCCTGGCTTTTTTCAGTGCCCATAAGCCTCTCCTTCTTTTCTGCTGATGACATGTCCGAATGTGACTCTGTTGACAAATGTATAGTTTTACTTAGAACTGTTAGAATGAGTGAAAACCTACCCAAATAAAAAGGGAAAATTTTAATAATCATATAATTTAATCCTCACAATTATATTTTTTAAGTTAAGCTTAACTTTAGGTGAATGTTTATGTTGTTTGAAACTTTTTGATTGTTGTTTGTGTTGGGGCCTAGTGATTGTACCCAGGGACCTGTGAATCCATGGCAAGAGCTGTAGCACTCACTTCAAATCCAGGCCTTTTATATTTGGAGACAGGAGGTCTGTAAATTCCCTGGCTGAATGAAAACCTGCCATCAGCCTGCCCTAGCATCTGAAGTCATAGATGTTCCCCTCTTTATCCTAGGCACATTGAGTTATTTACAGAGTAATTATACTTAAGACCCTAGAGGTCACCATGTTCAATGCATATGATAACTAAAAGTTTTACTCATTCAAAGAAAAAGGATATTTTGCAGAAAAAAATGTGAAAATTACAATGGAAAGAATTAACTTCACACTGTTTACTTTATTTTTTTCCTTATAATAACTTTTAAATAACTACTGCATATAATGTTTGGTGTCTGCAAAACAAAACAAAGCAAAATAAAGTTGTTGACAGTTACACATTTACCAGTGAACTCCTTGCTTCTTTCTTTTCCTTTTTTTTTGCATTTCTTCTATCAGGATTCGCTCTGGTTTTGGAAGCACTCCTCATAGTGCCTGTTATTCCTCAAATAAACTGGTATTGCCCCCCTGGTGCTACCTCATATGTTGACCTGCTTTTGTACTGGGTGATAACCACTTGACCTGGAATTTATTCCTTTTTCTATGTAGTCCATCAGGTCTGATTTGATGCTCAAAGGATGTTGAATGTTAACACAGAGTGTATGGGCTTCAGAAAGTGACTAACAGGAATGTGCTGAAAACTTCGATAAGGAAAAGGTGTATAGTGCCTGTTGAACAGTTTGTAGAGTACAGGTCAACAGATGCACTGCCTCTTTCAAAGGGGTCCTTTGAGAATAATAATAGTGTGGGATATTGGATCCTATACTTAGGGACAAAACCACATAAAGTGCAAATTTTTCTTCAGTATTTCCTAATTTATGAAGTATGGGGAAATTTTACTTTATGCCTCATTTAACTTTGGAACTCATGTTTTTTGCCATATTTTTGAAAGCTCTGCTCTTTTTTCTTCTCATAGGAGACCTGAATTTCCTTTCCTTCACTGACTATACCTTCTTCCTTTTCCTTCATTGACTCCCTCTATAATCACTTCCTTTCTCAATTTTTATTCCCTCTTCTTTGCTCCTTTTTGTTATTTATGAATTTTCTGTGATTGAAGCATGTATCAAAAATGCAACTCACATTTCAGTTTCTTTGCAATACCTGTGGGCTGAAACCTAATAAGATATGTCACTTATTAACTTTTTTTCTTATTAGATATTTAACAGTTGAACTGTGTGAACAATTAGAATATACTATTGCTCATGTTTTAATGCAATTTTCTCATCAATGTATTTTGTATCCTATAAGGTTCTTACCTTGTACTGGTCCATTTACTATCTTCTTTCCTCTTTGATAGGACTCATCAGATATACCAGAAGTACACACCTGTGGATGCTGCTCAGTTTCATTCTGATAAAATTTATATCAAAAATGAGTTGAATACAGGGTTTATCATTTCTTTTAGACATCACCATATTTCTAGTTGTGAAATCATGGGAATTAGAATTTAGACCAGTACATTTTGAGAAACAAAAATTTCCATAAGAGACACTCTCCCATGCACTCCAAATGAAACTAAATTTTTCTCTTCATCTCTCTGTTGATGGGTTAAAACTCAGATGGAGGACATAAGGAATGTGTTTCCTGGAAACAAAATCTGAGGTCCCTACATCCAAATCAACTAGCATCAGCTTAATTAGTCAAATTTCCATTCCATAGCAAATCCACAAATGCAGTAGAATACTTATTTAAAACTCTTTTGAGAAATGTACTTCATGTTATATAGCTTTAAGCATTTAAATAATGGATGGCCAAATTTTTAGTGATAAATTGATACTTGATGTCATAAGAGAGTTTCAATTCTATCACCAGAATTAGTAAGGAAACATTGTTCACTTGGTTCATTTCAGTTGTCAGACACTTCCAAAATTTAATATCTTTCAGCAAAATATTTACTGAGTCAAATCTCATTATTTTAACAAAGGAGAAAATGTGGAAATAAATGTGCCTATATTTTACTTGGACATAACAGCACACACAATTTGGGTAGAGTATGCAACATTTTCCATCGAAGAAAGAATAAAAGGTGTTCTAGTGGAGAAACATGGCAGAACAGAATCATACAGTGCTTACTCACTGATTATTTTCATAGTTGGGAGTAAAATGTGTGTGACTGCATAACAAAAAATGGGCTGTGGAAAGCCACTACAGAGAGCCAGTGACTAGATAAACTCCAGAAATATTGGCTTTTAAAAGCAGAATGCATTCATAAATGAAATAAGATGCAACAGTGCCAGGGGAAACATAGCTGGGCAAAAGAGAAGAATCTCCCCTCTGGTGGGTTTAAGAGAATCTCAGCAATTCAATTAGTAAATGGAGGAAAGCAATAAATAAACAGGCCTCAAAATAAAAAAGAAACAAATTGCCTAAACACATATGAAAATAATTTCAACATCTCTAGCATTCACGAAAATATCATTCACAACTCCATTGACAGTTCAGCTCACCCCTATCAGAATGGCAATTATCAAGTATTCAAATAATAAGTGCTGAGGAGGATGTGGGGAAAAACAATCATACACTGTGAGACTGAAAATTAGGACTTCCACTCTGGAACGGAATATGGAAAGTCCTCAGAATACTAGGAATATAATCACCATATGACCCAGGTTTTTCACCCCTTGCTATTTATCCCTGTGTACTAAAATTAGTATACACACATGACATATGAACTTCAATATTACAGTGGAAATCATAATTAGAAAGTTTGGGAAATGATTCAGATGTTCATAAAAAGAAGAATTGAAAAAGTTCGTGTGGAGATACTTGGCACAGAATTTGAGCATAATAGTTTTTCATAGTACACTATTATGTCAAAATGAAACCCACATAATATATAAAAAAGTGCTCTAAAAATTTCTAAATTATAAATATTATATCATCAAAATCTCCCTTATTTTATACACATGATATTTTATACAAAAACAATAGAAACATAATTTAGATTACTCTAAATTTAAATATAACTTTCTTACCCATTGAGAGACTTGGATTCTAATGAGTTTGTAAAAAAAAAAAAATGGGTGCACTGCAGAAACTTCAAGGCAGAATTTGAGTGCATGCACAGTAGTGACTGCCTCTTTCAAACAGGTACTTTGAGAAAAATGATAGGAGCCTCTTCTCTCTTTTATCTAAGCATGCTTACTAGGATATCAGAAAACAAAGCCTTTCTTTTTTTAACTTTTCTAAGACTGAACTATTGCATAAAAACAGTGAGTTGGAGGAACCCACAACAACAATCAAGGTGGGTGTATGAGAGAACTCAGATATAGATTTGCTGAGACCTCTGGGCAGCTAGAGCATGGTCTTGTGGTCTACCTAATCTAAAGTATCTCATGGCACTTTCATTGAAATGCAGTATTTGCAGCTTATGATACAGATGTGTCTGATAGAAAACTGTCATGACAGCACATGGCATATGTGAGTCTGGTAGAAAATTGACTGCATGCAAAATCACACACATGAGCAGACATTCAAGACATTCAACCTACTCTGCTGAGAGGCATTGGGAGTAGTTGCCCCCATTTCCACCACACAGTGGTCAGAGTCACTCACCTAGTGAATTCCAATAGATTCCTCACTACAAAACCCTTTTAGAAGGGTCCAATTGTAGGGACTCTGTGTGAAAAGATCAGAAACCACTACATGTCTTGTAGCTACAAGAAGCTACGCCAGCTATCCTCACAGGATGGTAGATGTTCAACTTGATCATATGGACTCAGAGTAGTGATTGTCAGAAATGGGCTGAAAACTTTTATAAGAAAGAGATGGGTTGTGCCTGTTGGGCAGTTTGTAGAACAGAGATCCACAGGGGCACTGCCTCTTTCAAATGGGTGCTTTGAGAAAAATGACAGTGAGCAAGAGTTTTCAGTGGCTACTAAGTTATATATGTTCATAATTTCAACTGGCTATTTATAAGTTTCAAAATTATTCTTCATCATTAAATGAGGTTACAGAGATAAAAGCACTCAATATTCAAAAAATTGTTCAATTGCTCTTACAAAACTTACCCTTAGTCCACTATGTTTCCTAAGCTATTTTCATGTTGATCACAAGTTATTTGCTTTAGACTTAAATATTAAACCATGTTTGGATTACAAAAGGGTATTCTATGAGGTCATTTCATTTGGCATAATTTACATTCTGAGCGCAAAAAAAGTGGGTGGGGGGAATAAACCAGGAATTTAAATTGACATATTCACATACCAGTTGTGGGTTATTTTCAGTGTCCTTGAGACTTTCCTGTTCTTCTGCTGATGACATGCCAAAATGTGACTCTGTTGATTAATGAATAGATTTACTTAACTATTTAAACAATTAGAATTGTGAAAATCTATACAAATAAAAGGAATAATTGTAACAACAGTATATGTTAAGTTTTCCAACTATAATTTTAATTTAAGCTTACTCTTAGGTGAATATTTATTTTTTGAAACCTTTAAATTTATGTTTGTGTGTGGTCTGAATATTATATTCAGGGATTTGTGTATTGTTGGCAAAAACTGTAGCACTTATTTCAAATCCCAACCTTTTTTTTTTTTTTTAATTTGCAGACAGGTTTTCTGTAAGATTCTCTGTCTGGCAGAAAGCATGCCATTGGGCTGCCTCAACTTATAAAATATCACATTTGCAGATATTCCCCCTCTGTACCAGTATATATTGAGATCTTTAAAAAGTAATTTTACTGATTCAATACTTCAGAATACCACTTGGAGAGAAATGGGGTGTCACCAAGTTGAATGCATATAATTCACATGTTCATCCACTCAAGGTAAAATTGCAAAAAAAAAAAATTACCATGGAAACAAGAAATATCACAATGTTTTCTTTTTCTTCATCCAAAGGGTAAGTTATAAACAATTGCTATACATCATTTTGGCAGCCCAAATGATTGATCACATTTACACTTCATCATAAGAATTCCAATTTATACCTTCATCAAGAGAACTCATATTTCTTTTCCTTTTCTTTCTTGAGATACATATTCACAGAAAGTTTTATATATACATATAACTTTTTATTATGCCTGTTATTCCTGACACAAACTGGTTTTGCTTTTCCTGGGGCTACCTCAGATACTTGACCAGCTTTTGTACTGTATTACAACTACTTAGACCTGAAAATTATTCCTTTGATGTTTATCAAAGTTCTTTGCAGAAAATTGTACTGTAAAAATTACCTGATAGTTGCTTTTGATATTTTTTAGTTTTAGGTGGAAACAATATCTTTATTTTATTTTTATGTGGTGCTGAATTACTGGGGCTGCTTGTACATCATGTTAGTGTCAAAAGTTTTATATATTTCCATCCATGATTGAGTATGTGGTAAGAGCTAGAAGAGCTAGAAGAGATAACCAGGGTTTGTGTCTTTTCTGGAAAAAAACAGAGACCTAAGTAGTGAGGACATCATCAAGACACAGGAAATGGTAAGAGCATAAAAATCTATAGCGTGATATAGAGACAAGTGTTAAGTGGGACAGTATTTGTCTGAACATAAAGGGATTGGTGAGGATAATTTCCAGAGGAGAGTTCAGACATGAAAAGGGCTAAAGATACAGAGGTAGAAAGAATTTGTATCATGAGTTATTTCTAAAAAAATTAAGATTGCTTGACATCCTCAATCTAAAGAGGGCCAATGATCATATATTCAGAATAGCAAGACCATTCTCAATGCTGTGGGTTGGTGAATGTGAGGGGCATGTGAATAAATAGAGATGAATAAAGAGAGAGCATTGCAGGCCTGAATGCTGTAATGGAGGGACTGTTTCCAGATATACAGAAAATGGAAGAATTTCAGTGGCCCATGTATAACAAAGTTCAATGAAGTGAACAAATTAAAAGCTGGGCTCTTGGGTAGGGAGATTCTGCTCCTGACTGTTACTCAAGGTTTCAAATGAGATGTGTAATAAAACACAGAAACTGTGAATTTTGCTTTCATTTACCATGTGGTTTCTTCTATGGCAACATCTTCCTATGTTGAGGGAACTCATTTAGGTCCTTGGTGGGCAATTTCCTTGAGCCTGGATTTACCAAGCCCACCAGTGAATCCGTGAAGTCAGTGGGTGAAACTCAGTGGAAAATAAACTGCTTAACATGTAAAAAGATTTGGATTAAGGTCCCTAACAATGTAGGGAAAGCCAGTAACAAAACACACCAATAAAATGTGACCAAACAAAAGTATTTGGGGATTTATTTCTCTTAGTCTAAATTCCAAGAAAGTATTTTATCCCATAAACAGTATTCATTTTATAGGAAAGGGATTAAAATGAAGAATGTATGATTATACATTGAGTAATTTCTTACTTAGTATTTGACCCATGAGTGGTGGAGAACATGGAATGTTCATAAACAGAACAAATGTTTGATGGATCTGGTGATTTACTGAGTGTTATAATAGAGTCAATATTTTTTTTAGATGTGTTTTTCTTGTGTTTCACAGAATAGCCTTGACCTACTGAGTTCAAGCAATATCTGTTTTTTCAGTCTCACAATTACCTGAAACTACAGCCTAGCTCTCCAATAAGCTTTTTACAACATTGTGGGGAAAGAAAAACCACCTCATAATCCCACAAACAGGGTTAATGTCTCCAGTTTGAGAACTTCACGTAGAAACATCTGAGTTACTGATTACTTTTGAAAATCTTTTTTTACGCTTTTTATAAAAAATTTCAACACATCTATGCAAACATAGACACTGGTCTATTGGGCCAAATTTTATCAAAATATTGTATTTAAAACAAAATGAGTGGAAAGTGTGCTAGCATTGTAGATGTTTATCATAGCTCTTTGCAGAAAATTGTACTGTAAAAACTACCTGATATATATTTTTTAATATTTATTTTTTAGTTTTAGGTGGAAACTATATCTTTATTTTATTTTTATGTGGTTCTGAGGATCAAACCCAGTGCCTCATGCATGCTAGGCGAGCACTCTACCATTGAGCCATAATTCCAGCCCCATATCTGATAGTTTTTGTCCATTCTTCCATCCTTACGTTTTATTCCAGGCTAAATAAACACTATTTCTTTTCAAAGAAATTCACGTGAAGTAATTTGTTTAGATACATGCTTTTAGAATAGCAGCTAATATATGAAGGAGCTATTTTGTTTGTTTTGGGGTTTTTTGTTTGTTTGTTTCTTTAATCATACACGTGTGGGACACTGATGAAATTTCTTTTCTTTTATCCTTTGGTTTAACCAATATCAAGTTTCTTGACCCCACTCTCATGAGAAGATACAGGTCCCACATCTAAGAAACAATGTATGAAAAACATAAAGAATTAAGATATGGGGACTGGGGTTGTGGCTCAGTGGTGCAGGGGGCTGGATTCAATCCTCAGCACCACAGAAAAGTAAATAAATAAAAATAAAGGTATTTTTATTGTATATCAACTACAACTAAAAAATACAATATTTTAAACTACAACTAAAAAATATTTTAAAAAAGAATTAAGATATGGTATTCCAAAGGAAAAATGATCTGAAAGCTCACAGAATACCATAAATCAGTAAACATTTCTATTTCAAAGTTAATGTCATATATTCAAGGAATAACAATCTTTGTTTTCAAGGTATAAACTCAATAAAGACTTTGTTTACAAAATGAATCTGGTTTAGTAGATTTTTGTCAGCTTTTCAAGTATTCATGGCCATGCTGCATTATCAGAAAATTAGTAGTCTAGGGATGAGTATGGAGCTCAGTAATGCGAGTGCATTCCTAGAATGCCCAGGGCCAAGTTTTCATTTTGAGGGAACATAACCAATAAGTAAACAACTAGCTGTCTTTACAATAAATACATCAAAAACAGTATGAACTCATCTGTCTATCTCATAAGGATTCCACACACATTGTGGTGCCTGATACTTACGAAGATGAGAAGTTTGTAGCTACAGGCTGCATAATGAAGTGATCCACAATAAACAAAACAAAACAAACAAACAAACAAACCACCACCATAATCTGAAAGCTTGCAGAGTGATCATATATAAATAAACTCCCTTACTTCAATGTTATTGATATACAAAGAATAACCACCATCTTGGTGTTCAAGGGAAAACTCACTAAAGATTTTAGAAGAAAAAATGAAACTGGCATGGCATATCTTGATAGTTATTCAAGTATTCTCATACAATGTCTGGATGAACAGAAAATTAGCTATCTGGAGATGAGAATTTATCTCAATAATAAAGTATATTAATGGCAGGTCAAGGGACAGGATTTTATTTCAAAGCACCAATACAGTAATAATATTAATAATAAAAAATTTAGCAGCATCAAAAACACTAGGCTTCTCAGCTGAATGAATCACATGAATGGCACCTATATCATGGTACCTGGTAGGTATGAAGGGGAGAAGTTGGTAGCTGCAAGTTGCCCCAATTCTTCCAGTCCATACTGGTTCCAATTATCTCTGGACCAGGAATAGTCTCACCTTTGGTCTGAAGGCAGATAAACTGAAAGAAGTTGGGCTGCCTTCTCTCAGTTTCAACATGATTCCCTCCAAAATTACATAGAAAACTCGTTGGTTCCTTCTTCATTTTTCCCTTCCTTTAAACATTTTCAAAGCAACTTCTAGAGGCTTTTGTTTGAAACCGTAAATTGTACATTCTTTGGTTCAATTATTCCCACTCCTTCTTGCCTCCCTATATAGGAAATGTATCATGGAAGTATAATTTGTATGTCTTTGTCTTTTGAGACCTTCCCTCTTTCCAAGATATATCCTCACAGGAAAGCAAGATGTATGCTTACACTTCATCTGCTTGTCTCCTGAAGTATAGGAACAAATAGGGTTCATTTACATTTCCCAAAGGACATCAGTTTCCTAGCTATGAACAATGTTGTCTGTGGATGAGGCTCATTGAAATGACCTTAGCAAATAATGTTTATCATAGTTTAAAAATATAATGTTTTTCATAATGGAAATGTGGAAGGAAATATCTACTGCCTCAGAATGAGCTTCTGAACATGGTCCCCAACAGTCAATGCATAGCAGTTTGAGATTCCCAGTGTGAACTTGGTCTTCTTCCACTTCTCATACTTTAACATGAATTTATCTCTCAGTTCCTCCCTACAAAGTCCCTCTAAATGAAAGTCTAAATGGAGCCATAATATTTCCAATGGGAATTTTAGATATCTGTGGTTTGGACATCACTCTATAACCATTCATATTTCTTTATATTCCCATTTTTGTTTCTGCCCTATATAATTTTGTTGTTATAGGTAGTAGCAACATGTTGCATTCATTAAAATCTGTACATACATAATAATTTTTGCTAAAAGAGCTTAGGCCTGAGTGATTAGTTCTTCACTCTTAATTTTTTTTCAAAACATACTAAGAAAGATTGAAATAATTTTACTTATGTATTAATTGATATTTGAAATGGAAACTTACATTTCTTCCCCATTTTGAAAACCCTGTTTTTATTTTCCTTCTCATAGGTGATTTGAATTTCCTTTCCTCCACTGAGTACAACTGCTGCTTTTTTCTTCATTGACTCATTGTACTAACTATACTTATCAGTTTTCCTTTCCTCCTTCTCTATTTTTTGATTCTCTTGTGCATCATAACATGTAGAAAAATGCAATTCATAATTCAGTTTTTTAGCAATACCCCTAATTTATTCTGTGAATGAAATAAAATAGTATATGCCACATATTGCCTTCCTTTTTTCTTTCTAGCTATTTAAAAGGAACATCATTAAAACAATAAGAATAGACTACTGCTCATGAATGAAGGCAATATTCTCTCCAAAGTATTTTTTATTATATATATATATATATATATATATATATATATATATATATACACTTACTTTTTATATATTCATTTTCTCTCTTCTTTGCACTTTGATGGGACATACCAGATATACTAGAAGCATAATCCTTTGGCTGTTTATCAGAGACACTCTGGAAAAATTAATGTTAATAATGAATTTTATAAAGATTTCATCATCATATTTGGACATCACCATATTTCTAAATGTAAAATCATGGGAATTAAAACTTATACAAGTACATTTGGAGCAACAAATATTTCCATAAAAGACTCTATCCTACGCATTACAGGTTAAGCTGAGCTCTTCTCTTCATCTGGCTGCTGATGAGGTAAAACCCTAATGAGGACATGGGAAATGTTTTTCTCTGACAACACTGTCAATGGCATGTCTATATCTAAAACAACTAAGTATTTAAGTAAATAGCAATCATTGCATTACCCACCAAATCTATGCATGCAAGAAGAGAAAATATATTTAAAACTGTTTATATAAATGCACTTGATGTAAATCAGAATGCAACATTTTTAGCACCATATGGCCTATTTTTAGTGTTAAATTATGGTACTTGATGTGATAAGACAGTTCAAATTCTGTCACCTTGTGTAGAAATGAAACACTACTGTATACTTGCTTCATTTGAGTCATCAGAAACTTCCAAAATTTCATGTATTTCAATAAAATATGTATGGAGTTAAAATTACATTTAGAAAATGTAGAAGGAAGTAAGAAATGCATGTCTACATTTTACTTGCATGTAACAGCACATGCAATTTGGATAGAATATGCAACAATTCCCCTCAAAGAAAGAACTAACAAGTGTTCCAGTAGAGAAAGGTGGCAGCACAGGATCTTAGAGTATAACTAACTATTTCCAGAGATGAAGTCAGCAAGGTTAACCAATGTTTTGCTACATATTAAAACCACACACTGAAGGAAAACACTGGAGAGCCACTACAGATAGCCTGTGACTAGATGAAATATAATATGCAATCATAGAGGAAATAGACTGTAGCAGTGCCAGGGGAAATTAGCTGAGTAAAAACGAGGAATCTCCCCTCTGTGGGCTAAAGAGAATTTCACCAACATAATTAGAAAATAGAGAAAAGCAATAGACAGACACATCTATGAACAAGATATACAAATTGCATAGCAAATTATGAAAAATTTTCTATCTTCAAAATATTGAGGGTAAAATATTTAAAACTCCATTGATATTTCAGCTCACCCATTCAGAACAGCACTTATCAAGTACTCAAATTATAAGTGCTGGTGAGGATGTGGAGAATCATCATCATCATCATCATCATCATCATCATCATCATCATACACTGTGAGACTAAACTTAGGACTTCCACTATGGAAAGCAGTACGGAGATTCCTCAGGATACTAGGAATATGACCACCATATGACCCACCTTTCCAACTTGTTGCCCTGCATTCTAACTTTATAAAATCAGCATACTTGCTTAACACAAGAACTTCAATGTTTGGTGCTAGTCTCAATGAAAATATCACAGAAATAGCCATGTACCCCCCCCCCATCGACAGAAGGATGTATAAAATCTTTGCATTTCATGGCATTCTCAATCTGCTTGCAGACAAAATAATTAGTAAATACTGTGTACTGAATCCAGTTTTCAGTGAATAATTTAACATAAATAATATAATATTTTAACATAAATGATATATTATGTTAATATATATTATCATATACAATATATTACTTATTATTAGATACATATATAATATTTTAATTTAACATAAGCAATACAATATAAAATAACACAATTTAACATAAATAAAATAATTTAGCACAAACATAGAAGATGATTTACCTTCCAGGAATCACTTGAGTCCCAAGATACTGAAAAGCAAGGAACAAAATTTGAATGTGACAAAACCAACATAATGTTCCTGCTGAATTACTATGGAGCTGATTCTGGTAAAATTACTTGATAAAATTTACTTTGGCTTTAGGTGTTCTATGTTTCTTTCTTTTTTCATTTTTAGGACAGTCATATGACAGAGATGAAGACATATCAGGAATATAACAAAACATGCAGTATCAACTCTATCATGACACTGAGGAAATCCACAAATTTACCATATGTGAGATCATGTTTCTGGTGAACATAAAAAATATAGCCAAGGGTACATATACCCAAATCCAGATGCAGAATTGTGGAGAACACAGTGATCTACAGTGAGATGAGTAAAGGAGAATAATTACAGTTTCAATGTCAAAGGTGAAATAATAGAATAATAGCTGGATATATTGTGTAAAAAGGCTGAATTAATTGTGTAACCTTGAGTTAATGCTATTAGAATTATTTAATCTATTTTATTATAACTATATATCTTGTGCATCCATTTATCTTACATTTAGTAAGTCCAAATATATGATAGGAATTCAGGCTAAATAAACATCGTATCCATCAAAGATTTTATATGAAGTAATTTGTTCAGATATCTACTTTTAGAAAAGCAGCCAATTCATGTATGTATGCATGCTTCTTTTTTAAAATATCTGTGTGGAACCCTGCTGAATTTTTTTTCCTCTATCCTCTGGTGTAACCAATATCAAGTTTCTTGACCTACTCTCATGAAAAGATAAAAGTCCTAAGCCTATGAAACAATATATGGTAAACATAAAGAATTTAGATATGACATTCTAAAGGAAAAAGCTATCTGAAAGCTCACAGAATATCATATATCAGTAAACCTTTCTATTTCAAAGTTAGTTATATATATATATATATATATATATATATATATATATATATATATATATATATATATATATATTAGGAATAACTGTCTTGCGTTACAAGGTATAAACTTAATAATGACTTTTGTTTACAAAATGAATCTAGTTTAGTAGATCTTGTCAGTTTTTCAAGTATTCATGGCCATGCTGCATTATCAGAAAATTGGTAGTCTAAGGATGAACATGGCGTTTAGTAATGCAAGTATATTCCTGGAATGCCCAAGGACAAGTTTTTTATGTTGAGGGAACAATAAATAGATAAAGGAACAACTAGCTACTTTTACAACAACAAATGCATCAACAATACTGATTCTCTTCTGAATATCTCACATGGATTCCACATACATTGTTGTGCCTGGTAGGTATGTGGGTGAGAAGTTTGTAGCTGCATGTTCCATGATAAAGTGAGATATAGTAATAAAACATAATCTGAAAGCTTGCAGAATGATAATATATCAATAAACTCCCTAACTTCAATATCATTGACACACACACACACACACACACACACACACATACACACCTGATAAATATCTTGGTGTTCAAGGACCAAACTCCCTAAAAACTTTAGGTGGAAAAAATGAGACTGGCATGGCATATCTTCAAAGTTATTCAAATATTCTCATAAAATATCTGGCTGAAGAGAAAATTAGCTATCTGGAGGTAAGAATTTATCTCAGTAATAAAGTACATTACTGGCAGGACAAGAGACAGGGTTTCATTTCAAAGCACTGCTATAGTAGTAATAATAATAATAGAAAATTTAGTTTGTGACTAGGGTTGTAGTTCAGTGGTAGAGCACTTGGCTTGCATGCCTAAGGCCCTGAGTTTAATCCTCTGCATCACTTAAAAATGAATAAATAAAACTAAAGATATTATGTCCATTTACAACTAAAAAAATAAAGCTAGGTTTCTCATCTGAATGAACCACATGGATGCCACATATATCATGGTACCTGGTAGGTATGAAGGGGAGAAGTTGGTAGCTGCACATTGCCCCAATTCTTCCAGTCCATACTGGTTCCAATTATCTCTGGACCAGGAATAGTCTCACCTTTGGTCTGAAGGCAGATAAACTGAAAGAAGCTGGGCTGCCTTCTCTCAGTTTCAAAATGGTTCCCTCCAAAATTACCTAGAAAACTCTTTGGTTTCTACTACATTTTTAGAAATTCTACTTCATTTTTTCCTTCTTTTTAAAATTTCCAAAGAAACTTCTAGAGGCTTGTGTTTGAAACTGTGAATTTTACATTCTTTGGATTGATTATTCCCACTCCTTCTTTTCTCGCTATATAGGAAATGTATCATGGAAGTATAATTTGTATGTCTTTTTCTTTTTAGACCTTCTCCCTTTCCAAGATATATCCTCACAGGAAAGCAAGATGTATGCTTACACTTCATCTGCTGTCTCCTGAAGTATAGGAACAAATAGGGTTCATTTACATTTCCCAAAGACTTCAGTTCCCAAGCTATGAACAATGTTGTCTGTGGATGAGGCTCTTTGGAATGACCTTAGCAAATAAAAGGAAAGATCTGCTGCCTCAGAATGAGCTTCTGAACATGGTCCCCAACAGTCAATGCACAGCAGTTTGAGATTCCCAGTGTGAACTTGGTCTTCTTCCACTTCTCATACTTTAACATGAATTTATCTCTCAGTTCCTCCCTATGAAGTCCCTCTAAACGAAAGTCTAAATGGAGCCATAATATTTCCAATGGGAATTTTAGATATCTGTGGTTTGGACATCACTCTATAACCATTCATATTTCTTTATATTTCCCCATTTCTGTTTCTGCCTTATATATTTTTTTGATGTTGTAGGTAGTAGCAACATGTTGCATTCATTAAAATGTGTACATACATAATCATTTTTGCTAAAAGAGCTTAGGTCTGAGTGATTAGTTCTTCACTCCTCAAATTTTTTTCAAACCATAATAGGAAAGATTGAAATAATTTTACTTATGTATTAATCAACATTTGAACAGGAAACTTGCATTTATTCCCCATTTTGAAAACCCTGTTTTTATTTTCCTTCTGATAGGTAATTTGAATTTCCTTTCCTTCACTGAGAACTACTGCTCCGTTTTTTTTTTTTTTTCATTGAGTCCCTTACTAACTACATGTCTCAATTTTCCTTCCTTCTTTCTCTATTTATTTTCAATTTTCCACTTTCCTGTGATCAAAGCATGTATAAAA